AAACTAATTAAGTTTAAAGTTTTTTTTTTACAAAAAAAATTTAAAATTTAAAATATTTATTTTAAAATTTTATAATTAATAAGTTTAAAACATTAATTTTTAATTATTAATTTTAATTGATTAAAATTTGAAAATTAAAACCAAAAAATCAGGAGAACGAGACGGGGCCGAATATTTCTCCTTCCGCCTATATGTTTCAAAGATTTTTTCCTCCCTGGCATGCCATCCTTCCTTCCACACGTAGACAAGCAGTAGAGTGTTACCGCAACATAATCTGCTCGGCGGTTTCAAGTTGCACTCTCTTGTTCTAACTAGCATTGTTACTCTCCGACGACTCCATCACCATGAATTTGATCCGATCAAACCCAATTTCTTCATGTAAGCAAAAAATTAAATACATAATAAAAGATATGGGATTTTCCTTCTTCTTTTTTTTTTTTTCCTCCTTTAGGACCTGGGACAGATGTTGCAGAAGTAAACCTAGCAGGTTTGGTATAGAGTATAACCGTGCTATATCCACAAGACAATTTCATTTACACCATGAAAATAGATGCTATATTCCTAGTCACTATAGTATTATATATGATATATGCATTAATGGCATCATAGGTGGTTACGTTCTAATTATCAGTGGAATTTCAATCTATTTTTGATGGTTTGCTCCTGAATTAGTCCATTTGAGAGAATTGAACCCTAAAACAATCTTAACCCTGCACCTATATTCACAACTTGAGATAGGCTTATGTGGTGCTCCCCAATTGATCTGTTGCCAACCCCAGAAACATTTCCAGCTTATTATTATTATTATTATTATTATTTTCTTTTGTCATAAGACATGGTATGCCTTACAAGTTGCAAATCACACAAAAAAGTCACAAACATAATTCTCTATTCCTAATTAAACATGTTTATATAACTCCACTTAAGTCAAATATATTATTCTCTGGTCCACAAGCTTGTGCAATGCAGTATTCGTCATATTACAGCAGAGGTTGGAGCAGCTGTTCTGCGAGCCGCTGTTAGTGAAGAATTGGCAGAAGGACATGGTGATGTGGGCCCCAAAGAGCTCATGCACATGTCAAAAGTATGAAACTTCTTGCCTTCTAACTTTTTTCCACTAAACAGTAAACTCCATGCTCTTTTATTCTTAAACGGTAAATTTTTATTTGCCTAAGTATGATTATGAAAGGGAAATATAAAAAATTTGTTGTTTAAAGGAAACTCAAATCTCACCTGAAATGTGCAAATACAGTGGTAAAAAACACCATTATCATAACCCAAACTGAGCTTAGAAAGTTGAGGTGTTTATTATTATTATTATTATTAAATAGCGGGTGTTCATCATGTAATAAATATCGGCCATGTTTGTCAGATTTGATGATCTATGAATGTTTGGGTTGTAAATATCTAATTTATGATGCAGGATGAGACGGTTGAATATGTCACTCGCAATATGTGGTACCCTGTTTACAGCCCCCTAGTTCACGAGAAGTAGATTAACAATTAATGTTTTCAACCTTGGAGGCTACATCTATGGGCCGCAACCAGTGCTCCAGAATGAATTGCAAATTCACTTTTTATCAATTTTCTTTGTATGATTTAATGACATCCTTACATGCTAGTATATTCTAGAAATACTGACATGGTCATCCTATCAACAATTTATTGCGTGGAAGAAAAGATGGATCCACTGAAGACGAACCCGCTTGGATTGAATTTTTTTGATAGCGCTCATTTTTGAAGTTAATTTTCAATAATGGAGGGTTGTGAATTGTGATGTTCATTTTGTCCCTTGAGATTATTGGATTCATGAATACGCATTCCATCAATTACCGGGCTGAGGATTTATTTGTTGTATTTTATGGACCGCAACCACTACTACTCCGGATGAATTGCAAATTCATTTTTTTTTTATCAAATTCCTTTGTATGATTTAATACACTTACATACTAATGATATATTTGTCTACATAGAAGAAATTATATTTTTTTTAAATAAATTTTTTAATTTAAGCTTTCTTTTCATATAGTCTTATACGATTCAATTTTAAATTAATTGAGATTTAAAATTATTTTTTAATACTAAGAGTTAATATATATAAACATCCTTACATGCTAGTATATTCTGGAAGGTCATCCCATCAACCACTTACTGCAGGGAAGAAAGATGGATCCATCAAAATATTAAATTGATGATGAAGACGAACCCGCTTGGATTGAATTTTTCTGTGGCATTCATTTTTGAAGTTAATTTTCAATAATGGAGGGTTATGAGTTGTGATGTTCATTTTGTCCATTGAGATTAGTCCATATGTGTATTCGTTGAAGACGAATTTCATCAATGACCGAGCTGAGGATTTATTTGTTGCATATTACCAAAGTCAAAGAACCCTTCTGAAAATCATCCACTCGTGCAATTTAAGTGGGCAGATATTCAATCTTGCATTATTTATTTGTTGCCT